CCCTCGCCTCGAAGTCAGTGGGTCTTTGGTTAGATGTCTGAAATAATATCTGTGCTTCACACAAGATTAAGAGATTTTAATGTTTTGTTCTACGACATAAAATACGTCCGTAAATACCCAACCTTTGAATTTGAAGCCTTTACGTGTCTTGAAAAAGGCGGTTGTCAATAGACTTATCTACTCACTAGTCCACACTACTACAGCCTTTCAAACTATTCTAACTCAAACTTTATAACTTGTAGATTTTAATTACAAGATTGAATTACAAGTTGGAAGTTTAGTGGTGGTGATGCTGAAGTCATGTTACCGTGGTGTCATTTGTTTATAGCCTAACATCAGCGTTTTACTTGTTTGTGCTTCAAAAATCATGAAAGTGGTGTTCATTTGTGAAGACTATGTTGCTGAGAAGCATCATAAACCTTTCTTTGACACAGAATTGATTTTCTGCAACAATCCAGAATCAAATAGAAAAATCCTGTTGGCTTTCTGTTGAAGGAACCAGGGTCATGCTAACTTATGGGTTGGACTACAACAATATGTCATATTGATGTTTAAATAATTGTTGAAGTCATTTTTTAACCTAAAATATCGAACATTTTCTGGTTCCAGCTTCTTAAATGCAATGATTTTATGTTTTTCTTTGTCATATATGATAGTTCAGTGTTTCTCAAATTGGGTTAACCTCTAGGGTTACTCCAGAGTAGTAATATTCCTATAATAACACTATAAAAAAAAAAAATGTAATTTAAGTTTGATAAACCACATTTTATATTCAATATTCATATTTTCAATGATGTGAAATGTGTGCTGTGAAATCTCACAGAAGAATAAAGGCAATGACGTTTGTTTTACTGTCAGTATCTGGAAGAATATGTTTGAATGCAATTTACCTCAATGAGCAGCAAACCTCCAGAGACACTGTGCTTTAATTTATAAGGTCATTAATACAGCACAGTGCTGTATTATACCTCTTTATATGAACATTTATGTTATACCAAAAAGGTTTTGTGCTGGTCATTGGGAACATTGTCGAAGAACCACTCAGAATAATCAGAAAACAAGACATTTGAAGACGTCACCTTGGGATGGAGGAAGTTAAAAAGGGCGTTTTTCACTATTTTAGACTAAAAAGATCAATCGACTAGTTAGGAAAACAACTGGCAGATCAATCACTGATGAAAATAATCATGAGTTGCAGCCTTGCAGTAAATCATAAGAGCTGACAGGTGAGGAAGTCCGAGTCGCTGCCCTGTGGCACTCCCTAACATAAGAAAGCACCACTCACTGGGGATAGTGGAGGTCAGTATGACTGAGCAGGAGAAACCAGGATGCACATGGTACTGTTTATATCCAGGATTTTATTTGCAGAAGAAATCATACCTGGCAGAAGTCTGCCCTGAGAGCATGAAAGGAAGCAAGCTACCAACCAGTCGTGAATAATTGAACACCAATAATGTTGTATAGTGCAGCATTTCATTTAATATTTACAAAATCAGCTGCAGATGACATATCGGATATTAAAAAGCTGAATCAAGTCAGTCGGACACTCCCTAAAGACTGATTTACCCACGCAGAGCCTGCCTGTCTACACATGCAAAATCCTCAATGCTCATTTCATGTTTCATGTATTTTTAAGTCAAAAGGTGCAGACAGTGAAAGCAGACAGAGGGGGAAGTGTGCACATACACCCACCCACCCACACACACA